GAGGGCACCCAGTGGAGAAACGCGTTGGGGATGGAGGGTCCCACCGGGAGCAGGCAGCAGGGGTTGGGGTCGCCGTGCCCATGGGGGGGGACCCTTGCGGTGGTTGTGAAGCTGTTTGCAACCTCCAGCAGCGTTTGTGGCCTCCAAACCCCCTCTTCCACTCACACCCGGTTGCCTATGAGGAGTTGGGGTTTGGTCTTTTTCCATTACGGCAAAATGGCAGAGGTGGCCCCTGCACAGCGCTCAGCATGAAGGGGGGAGTGATGGGCACCCATAGCCATGGGGACGGTGGCCAGGACTTGGGGTACCCAGGTTGGGGGCCCCCTGTAGTGCAGCCAGGGCTCACACTGAAGCCGTCCCAAGGACAGAACCCCCATAATGGGGATCCCCCCATCCCCGTGTGTGTCCTGGGCTGCAGCCACCACCCCCTGCTTTTGTTTTCCCAGAACACAGCCCCAGCCCTGTGCCGGTTCCAGCTCGCTTCCCTCCCCTTTGTCTCGGAATTAATCAGAGGCCGGAGGACGCTCGGTGAAGCCGAATGGCATCAGCCCAGAGCGCCCTGGGAGCGGCTGTGCCACGCCGGTACCATGGGATGGTACCGGTCCGGGCTCCATCCCGCAGCCACACACGGCACGGCCCCTGCTGCTGTTGGCTCTGCCCCGTGCCGGTGTCTGGGGCTATGGCACTGTTGTGGTGTCCCGTGTGCCGCGATCCCGGGCCGATAGCATTGTTTGTCCTGACACGTAACCGGTGACAACCTGCGGGAGCTCTGCCATGGACGGCGGCGCTCCCGGCCTGCCCCGCGTCCAGCGCCGTTTATAGCCCGGCAGAACTCGTTTGGCTGCGGCAGCCAAGCAGAACCCGGGGCCTGCGGCTCCTGGGGGGTGCCGGGTCACGTCCGCACCCCAATACCCCCAACCACCCCCTGTGCTCACCCAGCTGCAGCCTCAGCTCCAGATCAAGACTTGGGGTGGTCGACGGGACCCATCCCAGGCTCTTGTATTGAGGGGTCTGGGTTTTAGGGGTCCAGAGGGGCTGGGAGCACGTTGATGGTAGGGATGCGGTGGCCAAAGGGCACTGGGCCATGGCCACGGTGGTGCTGAGCCCCACAGAGCCAAGGGGAAGCTGAGCAGCCCTGCCTGCGGTTGAGGGGCCACAGCACCCCTGTGCCCCCCCCATCCCTGAGCAGCAGCGTCTGGGAGAAGGCCGGGGGGGTGAAGACGGGCTATGAAAGTGTTTCTTTGCTTTGCTTTCGAGAAGGGAGAACTTCAAAGGGGCCATTTATCAGCAGACAAAGAGTCCCGAGCTGTTTGCAGAGGGTAAGGGAGAAGCATTCATTATGGCCGTGTCAGGCGAGCCCCGCTGCTGCTGTCCTCCTCCTGCCCGCCCGGCCCTGTCCCATTGCCACGGGTGGCTCCTGTCCCCCGGTGCCATCCCCGGCTCCTGCCTCCTCGCCCCCTGTCTGGTGCCGCGCAGGACCCGCCTGGCGCTGGGGGATGGCACCACGGTGATGGGGTCCCAGTGTGGGTGCTGTGGTTGGAGGGGCACTGTGGGGACGGGGGCTCCCTGTTGTGTCCCTTCCAGTGCTGAAGGGTTGGTGCTTGTGATGGGTGAGCAAGGCCATGGTGGGAACCAGGCAGGGAGGAATCCATGGAATCCCAGCCTGGTTTGGGTTGGAAGGGGCCTTAAAACTCCTCCAGCTCCAACCCCTGCCACAGGCAGGGACCCCTTCCACTGGAGCAGCTTGCTCCAAGCCCCTGTGTCCAACCTGGCCTTGAACACTGCCAGGGATGGGGCAGCCACAGCTTCTCTGGGCACCCTGTGCCAGCGCCTCAGCACCCTCACAGGGAAGAGCTTGGTACTGAGAGCCTGGGAGCATCTTTTCCCCAGGGCAGCCCAGGCTGAGACTGTGCTCAGAGACAGGGGCATGTGGAGGAGGAGGACTCATTTCTACATCCCTGCCTCGCTCTGTGAGCCCTCGGGCGCATCCCTTCCCAGAGCAGGTCACGCAGCGCGGCTGGTGATGGAGTTTTGGTGCCGATGGGGTCTCTGCGCTGGGTGGATGCCCAGGAGGATGAGAACATTGGGCACCGATCCCCTGCAATGGATCCCCCATCCTGAAACCTCTGCAGGGCGAGACCCACAGCTCCATCATCCCTGGGGCGGGAGGGTAGGAGCGAGGGCAACTCCATCCCGAACCGGAGTGAGAGTGGGATCGGTGCCGTCGTCCCTGCAGCGTCGGGAGGCTGCAAACCTCGGGGTCCCCGGGGCGCAAGGGGTGGGAGCGCGGGGCGGGCAGCTCTGCCTCTCCTGTCTGATCCCTGCCGCAACCGCAGCTTCCCTTGGCCCGGCGGGATCATCCCGGGGTCATATTTAATAAAGGTGGGGATGGGAGCAGGCTTCCAAACATGACGTCAGCCCCGGGGGGGAGGCGCGGGCAGCCGGGAATGCGACAACCGCCCCGCGAGGGAGTGGGGGCCGCGGAGACCGGGAATGCCAGCGAGGGGATTTAATGGCCCGGCTTCGGTGGGAACGCTCTTGCCCACTGCCCGCGGGGTCAGGGGCGGTGAAGTCTGCGCGCGCTCAGGCGGCAAATGGAGCTCAGGGGAAGGAATGAGGCACAAGGGCAGAAATCCCCTGGCGTGGATTGAGGCCCGCGCCGCCGCGATGGGGCCGCGGCGATGCCATGGGCACGGCGCCCCGGGGCTTCCCCTTCCCCGTTGTGCCAGCGTGGGTTCTGCTGCCCGTGCGTGGGGCGAGTGATGCTGGACCCTCCGTGGGTGATGGAGGCGGTTGTGGCTGCAGGGAGGGATTGCTGGGCCGTACCGGTTGCATTAGGATGGTTATTCCCTTGTGGTGGTCGGGAGGGGATGGGCTTCTCCCTAGACGTTGAAACCCACCTGGAAGTGTTCCTGTGTGACCTGTTTTGGGTGGCTCTGCTTTGGCACAGGGCTGGGACTGGGGGATCTTCCAGCACTAATGGTTCCATTTGGTGCCTCTCTGACGCTGCGAGCGATGGGGAGCGGGAGGCGAGGCCACCTCCAACCACGGGAGCTGGTGACCAGCACCAGGCTCATGAGCCCATGGGCTGGCTGCAGACTGGGTTTGGAGTCCTGTGGGACAGAGCAGAGCGTGCTCAGCTTCCCAAACCCTCGCCTGCATTCCCAGCACCGTCCCCTCCTGCTGATGCCTTCCCCTGGCTGGGAACCCGTGTGCTCCCAGCCCCATGGAGTTAATGAGCTGTGCCCGCCAGCGATGGGAAAGGGCCGGTCCCAGCGAGGCTCTGACACCGCTGCGAGGAGCTGGGTGTGGAGGAAGGGGGAAGAGCAGTGGGGTGAGAGATGGACCAGAAAACGATACCCACTTCATTAGCCAGGTGGCTCCGAATGTGTGGAAACAGGGCAAGGTCCGGGTCACCCACCGTGACAGAACATCATTACCATGCGATGCCATGAAGCCTGTGCAAAGACCAAGTCAAAGCTCACCAGACCACTTGAAAGGGAGACGGGACCTTCCCAGAGCAAGAGCCAGGCTGTTCCCAGGGTGGGGGGTACCCGAGGGCAGGCACAGACCGTGATGGGGGGGTCTGGGCACTCAGCGCCGTGACTGGAGCAGTGGTGGGGGGCACAGAGGGTGTAACCCCAAGTCCTGATCGCAGTGGGTTGGTGCTCAGGGGCGGTGGTGGCTCTGTATGGCCCCCGTCCCCGAGGTTTGGGCTCTCTTTGGGGTGATCAGAGACCCATTGTGGTGTAAAGGAGGAGAGCACCCCTCTGGTAATGCAGCCCTGGGCACGTGGGAGCAGAGCTGGGGATGATGCACGTCCAGTCTGGGGTCCAGGAGGTTTTTGGGGGGGGTTTGGTCCTCTCTTCTATAGGTTGTGCTCAGTCTATGTGTGCCCATCAAACCCTGCACAGCCATCGCGTGCTCATCCACAAACCCGCTCCCTTTGGGATGCCCTTGACCCACAGCCCTCCCATCGGCTGTGGCTCTGTCTCCCAAGGGGAAGGGGGATTTGACAGTGCTCCCATCCCTGCCCTGGGCTGCTCCTGCACTGCAGGGATGGTTTCATCCCGCTGCAGTGTGTGTTCAGCTGTAGGTACCCTGTGAAAGTCTGAATCCAGCCTGGAAGTGCAGGGTGTAAAGAGAATGGGCAGGTACCAGCCAAAAGCAGCAGGGAACTGGGCTGCAAACCGAAAGTGCTTTGGGAGGGGTCATGACCAGAGGTTTCGGGCATTGGCCCTGCCTTCCCCTGCAGGTCCCTGTGTGTGTGCTCTGTTTGTGCTGGTGGCTCCTGGGTCCGTCCCTGCTTTGATGGAAGTGAATGTGTTGATCTTTGGGACTCGGTGCAGTCACAAGGGTTTTGTTCAGATCCCAGGGCCTGGCTTGGCTCTCTTCTGCCCACCTCCAGACCTGCTCCTTGCTCCCGCCCCTGGTGGCTGCCAAGGTTCAACGGGGACTCCGTGTCCCCTGAGCACCCCTGTGCCTGCCTTGCTGAGGGTCCCTCTGTGCTGTGCACATCCAGCTCCTGGTGAACCTGTGCTGAGCCTGGCCCAAAACTGCCCTGCAGTGGGTGCCAAGACCCCCATCGGGGGGTTCTCCCGGGGCCTGTACCCGCTCTGTGCCAGGGCTTGGCCAGCAGGACCCTGCTGGGGGGGTGCCGGGGTTGGGGTTTCTCAGCTTGGTCCCGTTTCAGTGCAGGGCGCAGCTCAACGGCCCCGGCCTTGAGCTCAGGAGCGGCGCAGGACGGGCTTTGCCCATCCCATCCCCATCCCCATCCCGGCGCTGCGGTCCGGTAGGCGCTCACCGAGCACCCCCCCCCCCCCCCCCCCGACGGCAGCCGGGGCTGCAGCGCTGGGGTCCCCGCTGCCGTCCCGTTGTGCCCCCGCCGCTCCTCCGGGGCCTCCCGTCGGCAGCGGGCAAAGTCCGCCCCAAGAGCAGGAGCTAAGGGCCGGGCCGGGGCGGGGGCGCTGATTTGCATAAGGTATATTGCCTCATGATGGCCGTCATGCCTTGGTAAAGGGCGGCCCGCGCCCCGCAGCAGCCCGGCCGGCCGGGGCGGAGCGGCGCGGCAGCGGCGGAGGGAGGCGGGAGGCGAGCGGCGGGGCGCGCCGCGGGCGCCCGGGAGGATGGTGTCCCAGCTGAGCGCCCTGCAACGGGAGCTGCTGGGAGCCCTGCTCAGCTCCGGAGCCACCAAGGAGGGCTTGATCCGCGCCCTGGAGGACATGGTGCCCGCCGCCGGCTTCGGCGTCAAGCTGGAGAGCCTGCCGCTGTCCCCCGGAGGGCCGCCCGACGGCAAGGCCGCCTTCGCGCCGCTGGCCAACGGGCACGGCAAGGGCAAGCTCTCCGGCGATGAGGGCTCGGAGGACGGCGACGACTTCGACACGCCGCAGATCCTGCGGGAGCTGCAGGCGCTCAACACGGAGGAGGCCGTGGAGCAGCGCGCAGAGGTGGACAGGATGATCAGGTACCGACGGGGACGGGACGGGACGGGGCGCACTCAAGCTCCGCTCGCAGCCGCTCGGTCCCGCAGACCCAACAGGTTGCAGGCACCCCGCACGGGGGTCTTGCCCGGTGCGCCCTACCCGGGGACGGGTCCCGGTGCGCCGTGGCCCGGCGGGGCTGTGCTTGGAGAGGAGTGGGCAGGGAGAGGGCCCGGGGCTCTCTGGCCGCGTCCTCCCGCCCCGTCGGGGAGCTGCCAGCCCGGGCGCAGCGGCCGCGGAGGCTCGGAGCGGCCGCCGGCTCCGTTTGTCCGCGTCGGGAGCTGCAAACATAAACTGCGACACGTGGAGCGCGGTGCTATTAATTTATTTCTATAAATCATCAACAGAAGATACACAAAGGGCCGCGATGAGGGCGAGAGCAGCCGCGGGTTATTCATTGCCGAGGTTGTAAAGCGGCCCGGGAGGGCGGAAGGAGGAAACCCCCGCGGGCTGCGCTCCTGCCCGTCCCGGCGATGCTGCTCCGCTCCGGTCCCGGCCGTGCCGAGCCGCCGGGAGCGGGGCCGCCGTCGGGGAGCGGAGGAGCTGCCCCGGGCTCTGCGGGCAGCGTCTGCCCCGGGCCGGTCGGGGCGCGGACGGCGTCGGCTCCGTTCCGAAGCGCAGTTGGGGCCGGTGTAGGAGGGTGGGAGCCCCGCGGGACACCCCTGAGTGCGCCCGCGGCACCTTTGGGTCCGTCCCCCGCCTTGCTGTCAGGTTTTATACCTGTATCGGGGCACCGCCGGTGCCTCCTGCACCCGCTCCCAGCCCACATTGCCTAGGGCAGCCCCGGCTCTTGCCCCCCAACAGCCCCGGTGTCTCGGCACTGATGGGGACACCGCCGTGGTCGTGCCCCAGGCCTGCCCCGGGGGCAGGCGGTGCCTTTTGGGAGCAGGGTTTGGCAGCGGCGCCCGTTCCAGCCAAAGGGCTCGGCTGGGACCCGGCTCCATGCGAGGGGGGAATCACTGCAGGCCGTTTCCATTGGGATCCCACCCCTCCTGCGCAGCACCGTGCCCTGCACCTCTGGGTGCTGCTGCCTGGCCCCAGTCCCCCACTTGTTGCTGGCCGCATCCATCCCGGGATGTCCGTAGGGTGCAGAGCGGGCTCAGCCCCGGGGTCCCTGTGCTCCCACAGGTGTTCTGTGCAAAGTTTGCCTTTGGTGCAAACAAGAGCAGGCACATGTCCCTGAGGAGCCTTTGCAAAGAGCTCGTGTTTGCTCTAAGAGAGGCCTTTGTACTTGGAGAGGGAGCTGGATAGGGGAGTTGGGATCCATTTATTGCAGCTACGCATGGGGAATAAACCCCCTCTGCTCCCGCTCCCCAGGGATGGCTCCGTCTCGGGCTACTCCCACGTCCCTGGGGTGCTCAACCCGCAGCTCCTTTGGGAACGTGGTGCTGGCCTCACTGCCCGCCGTGGCATGGGCTGGAGCTGCCCATCCCAGTGCAGTGGTCCCAAGTGGTTCACCCCAGCCACAGCCCCTCAGCAAGCAGCGCATTCCCTTGGACCCCTTCATGGCTTCAAGGGATGCTTCTGTGTTACGGGCTGGGCTTAAACCACATCAGGGTGGCAGAGGGTGAGTGCCACACACGGGCGGGCTGGTCCCACACTGGCACTGTGCTTCCTCATGGAGCCTGGCCATGGGGGTACCGGCGGCATGGAGAGCCCAGCGCTGGGGCGCGATGCCCCATGGCTCCATATCCCTGCCCAATCCCACCTTCCAGAGCTCACAGATCCCAGCAGATCCCATGGGCCTGGCGTCCAAGGGAAAGCTACACACCCTTGGGGACCCGGCTGGAGATGCCCCAAAGCCACCCCGATATGCACAGGGAAGGGTGGACATGGCACATGTCCCCTCGCTGGCTCCCCATGCGCAGGGGAGATGAGATTCGGGAGGTAATTTCTGAGGGAGCCAGGTTTATGATCCATCTGTGTAAATTCTTGGCATATTTCTCCCAAGGATATGGAGCGTTTTTACCTGTTTGCAAGGCTGACAAAGGGGGTGAGCAGGTCTTGGAGTCCCTGGGGAGAGGGACAAGAGGCTTCCTATGGAGCTGGGATGGGAAATGCCCTTTTCTTCATCAGTGTTGGCGGCTGGGCTTCGCTGAGGTTAATTTTGTGCATGAAGAAAACCCCTTTTCCTTGGTTTTGGTGGTGAAGAACCTTGCGGCGAGGGCCATGAACTGGTTCTCCAGTGTTACAAAGCACTCCTGGCTTGGGTGGGTTATTTTGCACGTAAAGAAGATCGGGCAATTAATGTGGTTTTGTTTCATTTTGGTGACAGAACAAAAAGCCAAAGGGCTTGCATTGAAGCGAAAGCTTTTTCCTCTCTTGTTTTTTAGGTTAAGCAGAAAAGAAAAGCGGGGGGGGGGGGGGGGGGAGAGGTGAAATAAACACTGAAACATTTCATTTTGGGTCAAGTCCAAACATTTTGTTTAACATGAAACAAAATGTTTGGGTTTGGTTTCAGGTTGTTTAACCCTTTTGAATGCGGTCAAGTTGATCTGTAAAGAGAAATCCCTGCTCAGAAAGGCAGGGCCGAGGAATTGTTTTGAAAGTGGAAGTGTGAAACAGGCTGAAACCCTCCTGAAAATAACAAAATGGAGGGAAACGCGGGGATTTTTTCCCCTAATTCTCACCTATTTTTTTTCCAGCCAAAATGCTGCCAAATTCCATGGAAATTCAGAAATCACGTTGTTCTGAAAGCAGCCCGAATTGTGAACTCTGGTGCTGGCTAACCCTTAACTTTGGGCAAGTGATGCCCTTGGTTTATTTGTGAACCAAACAGCTATTAGGAATGATAATGAGCTCCGTTCCATTAGCTTATTATTAATCAGTAATTAGGAGGATCACTTGGGTGACATGCAGGGCTCGTGGCACAAGTCCCTGTGAGCCCCTTAGCTCAGGCAGGGTGGCTGTGGGCTCTGCCTGGCTCCGTTGGGAAGGAGCGCTGCAGGACAAGGACCTGTTCTTTGCTCCCTTCTTGTTGGCTCCCACCTTCTCCTGGGGCAGCACAAGGACCCGAGAGCCCCAAAACCTCGGTGGGTTCGGGGCAGGAACAGGCGTTGCTGTTTGCACCGTGCTCATCCCAGCCCAGGGTCCCGGCTACTGGGAGAACCGGAGTCAGTGTGTGCCCGGGTCCGCATCCAGCTCCGTGTGACCATCACCGTGTTCACAGTGGGGTCCTCCTGCGCGGAGGATGCAGGACTGGGCACAGGAATGATGTCCCTAGGAAGGCTCCGTGCTGTCCTTCCCGAGAGGGACAAAGCCGCTGCCACCATCAGCGCGTTGGCCATGGCCGGGTGCTTTTGCTTTGGATCCAACCAGCTTTGTTTTCGCGCTGCGTTCAGGACAAACAGTAAGGAATCCATTTCTTGGGTTGTTTTTCTCCTCCTTGACAAGTCGAAGGATCCAAACCAAGGAACGAGGTGGGAAAGCAGCCGGGCGGTTGCTCCAAGTGCAGCATTATTTGAGTGCAGGACTGTGACCAGGCTCGGGCTCCGCACTGGGTTTGTCGGTGTTAAAGCACTTCCTTCTAGTGCAGAATAAACCTGGGGCTCTGGGGTACAGAGGAGGTGCTGGTCTGTTCCTCTGCCGTCGCCTTGTGCGTTCCTTAGGGCTAAGGAAGGCAGACGGCGTTTGATTTGTGGCTGTAGTTGTGTTTGTTCCTTAGTTCCCGGTTAGCGGCAGCTCCTCCAAGGACACCAAAGTAACGCGGGTTTAGGAAAGAGCCATTTTCCACCTGAAGCCTGCAGGAACAGAATTCGAGTGTTTAAAAATAGTCAAGAATGACCTAACATTATTGAGAGGTTTGGGTTTGGTTTTCCATTCCGGGGCTTGCTTGGGTTTGTGTGCCTGCTTTGACCTTCACTTCTCCGCCTCTTGCTTATGGCCTCTGTGCGCTGTTGTGGGAGCATGGAATTAGGGTCTCTTTTCAATGACTATTGGGTTTTAGGGATTTATCCCTGTGGGATGAAGCAGCAAGCACAGTGAGTGGGGTTTGGTGGCTGTGCGGAGTCCTCGGTAGCCGGCAGCAAGCCCAAGGGCATGGGGCAGGGTGCGGGTACTGCAGCCGGGGCAGGAAAACCATCCCAGCAGCTCCACATGGGAGGTTTCTCTTTCTTCAGAGAGATTCCCAGTATGGGTGTCCCAAATCCATACAGGTATTTGTGTGTGCGCATCTTCAAAGGGAGGAATTGTAGTGAGTGCAGTAATGGCAGAGATTACCGGGTGGGCTGCGTTCCTCCTTGAAGGATCTGGGTGTTAACGTGACCTTGACGAGCCACAGGGATCCCCTTTATTCTCCCTCCTTGGGTGAGCACCCTGGTGGGCAGCCCCGGGGTGGCCTTGGCACCCTGTGATCCCCTGTCCCACCAGCTCCTGCCTTCTTGGGGCAGGATGGGGCTGTTTTGGGGGCTCTGGGATGGCCATCGGGGAAAGGCAAATGCCCCAGGGTTCTTGTGCCCTTCTGAAACAGGTTTAGGAATAATAATAATAATATTAATAGTGATAATGATAATAATAATAATAATGGGTTTCCATTATGGGAAGAAGAGAAAACCGGGAGCTTTTCCCCCATCAGGACTGGTTAACCCTTGTTCTCCCTCCCCGCAGCGAGGACCCGTGGCGGGCGGCGAAGATGATCAAGGGGTACATGCAGCAGCACAACATCCCGCAGCGGGAGGTGGTGGACGTCACCGGCCTCAACCAGTCCCACCTCTCGCAGCACCTCAACAAGGGCACCCCCATGAAGACGCAGAAGAGAGCCGCTCTCTACACGTGGTACGTCCGCAAGCAGCGGGAGATCCTCCGGCGTAAGTACCCGTGCCAGCGCTCGCCATCGGGGATAACAGGGATAAGGGGGTCCCGCATCCCGGTCCTGCCAGTGGGTGCATCCATGCCTGCTTCCGTGCCTGACCCAAGCTGCACAGCATCCGTCCCAATAGAGCTTTACAAGCAAAATGCATTTAAGGCATAGGAAAACTGCTCAAAAGCGCCTCCTGATCACAGGAGCACGGTTTGGGTTTCCATATATTTGTTAGAGCTGGGAAAGCAATGGATGGTTACACACAATTTGATGCCTTTCCCACCTCTGCCCCCTTTTCCCTTCCATTCCCTGAGGCCCTTCACTTTCTGCAACTACTTGCAAAAAAAGTAGAGAGAAAAGAGGAAAAGCCTGTGAAGGGCTCCTGTCTGCAGCACGGTCCTGGGGCTCTGTGCTATCTAAACTAAGACCAAGTGCCCAGGCTGTTGTGCACCTCTCTTGTATGGGCCAAATTAGCCCCGTTTTTGGCTGAGCTGCAGTTCAGGGCACTGCCACTCCTCCGTCCTCCGAAAGGATGTGATCTCCATCGGACGGGAAGCTCAGAGAAGGGTTTAGCACCCATGCTTTGAAAACACACCTTGAAGCCTTAGAGCAAACAGAGCCTGCTCCAGCCTTGCCCTGCGCTTCCCCCCTTGTCACGGGGGGAAAAGCCATTAAAAAAGAGGGAGAATTCCCCTGCAAATCTGGGAATAATAAAACCCTCCCATTAATCTCCCTTTACTGCCACGGTGACAAGCGCCGGGTCCAGGGCGGGCGGCTGGGGAAGGTCACCTCTAGCGCTGCTGCCCCGGGCATGGGGCTGGTGTCCCACTGCACTGGAATGGGAGCGGGAGCTGGATGGGGGCTCTGTGCAAGCAGAGCAAGGCACCATCCCAGGGGGGCTTTGCAGCCACCCTGCCTGGCTCCTTGCTCACACAAATCTCCCCCAAACCCATTCACCCCCGGCGAGGACCTTGCCCATGAATATGCATGTGCTGCACGTGCCTCCCCATTGAACACCATCCCGCAGGGGTGGCAATATCCGCCCTGGCAGGGCGCAGAGCAGGTCCTTTCCTTGGGGTGGGTGTTGGGGGCACCAAGATGCGCTGGGGTTGTGGGTTTTGGGGTGCTGCAGGAGGGGACACGGGGACACACGCACCACTGCGGCGGCTACAGGCCGGCTCACGTCTGCTCCTTTCTCTTTCAGAGTTCAACCAGGCAGTCCAGGGTTGTGGAAATAGGACAGACAAAAGCAGTCAGGATCAGCTGCTGTTTCTCTTTCCAGAGTTCAATCAGCAGAACCAGGGGGCTGCCCAGCTCGACGACGCCTGCTCCGAAACCCCCAGCAAGAAGATGCGCCGCAACCGGTTCAAGTGGGGGCCGGCCTCCCAGCAAATCTTGTACCAAGCCTACGACCGCCAAAAGAACCCCAGCAAGGAGGAGCGCGAGGCGCTGGTGGAGGAGTGCAACAGGTAAAGGCTGCCCCACGCTGCCCATCCCGCAGCCTTTCTCCCAAAAACTCCATGCGATTCCAGGCTTCCGGCCGCTGGCTCGTGGCACAGCTTTGCTGAGCTTCCTGGCTTCTTTCTGCCTCGTTTTCCCCATATGGGTGATGTTCGGGGCTTGGTGAGCTCCATGTTGGGGTAGGGATGTTGCAGGGATGCTGCAGAGATGCCCTGGAGATGCTGGCTGATGCCCTGGGGATGCTGCAGTGATGCCAGGAGGATGCTGGAGGGATGCCCGAGGGATGCTGCAGGGATGCCCGAGGGATGCTGCAGGGATGCCTGAGGGAATGCTGCAGGATGCCCAAGGGATGCTGCAGGGATGCCTGAGGGATGCTGAAACATCACAGCAATACCAGAAGGAGAGGGGGTGGCTTTTACAGCATGGATATAGTTGGAAAGAGGAGGCAGGCTCCTAGGAAGGGTTTAACCCCCCCCAAGTCTGCCTGGCGGTGCTGTGGGAGCCCCCCTCCAGCAGCACCCTTGTTCCAACGTGTCCCCTTGCACGCGCAGGGCCGAGTGTCTGCAGCGGGGGGTGTCCCCGTCCAAGGCGCACGGGCTCGGCTCCAACCTGGTGACAGAGGTGCGGGTCTACAACTGGTTTGCCAACCGGCGGAAGGAGGAAGCTTTCCGGCAGAAGCTGGCCATGGATGCCTACAGCTCGGGCCAGCCCGCCCCGCACAGCATGAACCTGCTGCTGTCCCACGGCTCCCCGCACCACAACCAGCCCAGCGCCTCGCCGCCCAGCAAAATGACAGGTAAGCCCTCAGCAAGGATGCTCGGGTGGTGGTGGTGGAGCAAATGCGGCGCTGGGTCCTGTTCCTGCTGGAGATAGGGGTGCTGAGCCCTTAGGACGTGCATGGGTAGTCTTGAAGATGGGTACCCTGGTCCCTGGTGCAGCCTCAAGTGATGGTGGTGCGGTGAGGAGCAAGTGGTGTCACTGCAGTGTTACGGCCCCATGTTTTGGGGCTGGGTTTCCATCCTGTCTAGGATTAATTGGCATTTGCTTGGTTGGTTTAATTCACTGGCGTCCCTGTGTGGGCTCTTTGGGGCAGGGAGATGAGCTGCTCTGTGCCTGATGCATCACTGCTGGGGACTTGGGATGCAGCCCACTGGTGAGCACTGGTTTTGAAGGCAGGGGTGCACAGGCAATGCCGCAAAGCCCATAAGATGAAGCAGTGTGTCCTGGGCTGGAGCTAGCCCAGGCTGGGTGCGTGGTGCTGCACCATCCCCATGCCAGCGCGGAGGGAGGTGGATGAAGGAAGCTGCTCAGGGGTGCCGGGCTCAACCTCCACCTCTCCCCATCACAGTCCAGCCCCGTTGTGCTCAGTGAGGAGGCGGCTGGGAGAGCAGCCCTGCCGAAAGCTCCGGGGGGATTTAAGCAGGAGATAACAGCACCGGGGAGGAGAGAGGCATTGTTGGGAGAACAATCCCCATTGTCCCCCTCCTGCCCTCCGCAGCCAATGCACCGGGTCCTGGTGTGCAGGAGCAGGCACTCAGTGATGGGGGGTCAGCAGAGGGGCTGCATCTCAATCACCTCTTGGCACAGCATGGCCAGGGAGGTTAAACTGCTTGGAAATGACCCTGCCTGCCTCGTTAGGCACCCCCAGCTCGTTACAAAGGCAAATTAAATGAAACCCGTGCATGGAGAGTCCCTGCGGGAAGGGCAAGGTGCTCATGGAGAGGAGGCTGAGCTGGGGACGGTGCCAGGCCATGGACACCAGCCCCTGGGTGGTAGCAAGTGAGGACAACCCAAAGGTGGTACCCGGGGCAGGGCGGGGGGGGATGCAGCAGCATCCAACCGCTCTCCCGCAGAGAGACAGGCAGCATCCATCCCACTCCCGGGTACCACTCTCCCTTAGGGCCGGCCCGCGGTGACCACGGTGTGACCCTGCCCCAGGAATGCCCCCGCACAATGGCGGGGACAGGGAGGACGTTTGCCCTCCTGTCACCGGCTGATTGCTTACAAGGTGCCCTACAAGCACATTGTCAGCAGAATCAGCTGTTTTCAGTGTCGGCCGGCGGGGCTCCACAATGCCCCACCAGCATGCAGCCCCGCATTGTCATGGCTCATCCCTGTGCATGCTTAATTGACAATTAAACCGGGCTTTGAACGAACCCCAGCGCCTTTGATGTGCCCCCGGCCTGCCAGCACGCATGCAGCACCCCCGAGAGCCTTTGTTTGCTTCTATTAGGGGATGGCAATTACTGTAACTGCGGGCATTTATCTTGGGGCTGGAGGGCCCTTAAGCCCCGACCTTTATTTTCCCGTCGGAGCAGTGCCAGCAGGAGCCGGTCCCGGCTATAGGGCCGATGACAGCCCATTCGGAGGGGCTTTTGAGCAGGGCAGGAGTGATGGTTGCGGTGATGGTTCATGAAGGGCCCCTCTGGAGGGGTCAGGAGGGCTTGGCTGCAGGAATTTCTCAGCGGATGGTGCTCATATCCATCAGCCTTGCCGAGGAGGAGGAGATGGGCACTGCGAGGTGGGGTTTTAGGACTGGTTTGGGATGGAGCTCAGCCGTGATTGATTCAGGCTCACCTCGACCAAGCTGGGTCCGGCCGGCTTGCAGCTCCCAAAACCGGCTCCAAACCCGTGTTTAAGATGCGACGCCTCGATGGGATGTGGGGCAGTGCTGCCTGGCTGACCCCATCCCGGGCTGGCCATGCTGGGATTTGAACTGCCCTTGCACCGCTGCGGCGGCGTCTGGGGCTCTCAATGCCTTAACAGCTTAATGACGGCGCAGGGATGCTGCCCGAGTCCTGCCCTGCACAGCCCTGTCCCCCCCCCAGGACATCCCCCAGCAGGAAACGATGGGGCTGGTGGCATGGGGCAGCTGCACAATCGCTCCCGTGCCCGCAGACAAAGGGGGCTCGGCTGCTCCTCAGGACATCAATGGGGTCTTGCAAAAGGGGGGGTGTAATGACAGCCGGGCAGGGATAAGGGCTGTAAAAGTCAAACATCCTCCTGGCCTCTTCTTGGGGACCCATCTGTCAAGCCTCAAGCTGTAGTTAACTGTTTGGAGGTAAATACTTAAAGCCGGTCTATCTCGGAGGCTTCTCTCAGACTCTGGACTTTTCCCTTACTGTGGGCTATTATCAGCGATCTTGGTTCCCTGTTTGATTTGAAGGTCACTCGGGGCTTTATCTCGGTGCCATGCCGTAGACTCTGGCTTATGCCATCTTTATCTTCAAGAGCCCCGAGGACAATCGGTGCATTGATGAGATTAGGGGAGGCACCGCCCGCCCGCAGCCCCCCGCCTCCCCCTGCATACAAAGGGACGGCGGCGCCCGGCGGAGCCCGCAGAGCCCTGTCCCCATGGCCGGGGGTCACAGCATCGCCTCCAGCCCATCCCGGTGGTTGGGGTGTCCATGCATCCATGCATCCATCCATGCATCCATCCGTCCGTTCCTGCCCTGCAAATATCAGAGTAGTAGAGCAGTATCAGAGTGCGCACTTATATATGTATTTATATGTATGAATGTACAGTACTTCTAGACTTTTAGCTACCCCTATAGATGGAGAGCAAACATATATATGAATGTACCTTGCTTACATATTTTTAGATATCTCTGTAGATGGAGATAAAACCCATATATATAAATGTACGTTACTGATATATTTTTAGATGCCTATAGAAGGAGATAAGAAAACATTTCTATATATGAATGTACATTACTTATGTATTTTTAGGTATCCCTATAGATGGAGATAAAAAACATATATTTATATAAATGTACATTACGTATATATTTTTAGATATCTCTGTAGATGGAGATAAAAAGCATATATGTATTACTTATATATTTCTATTACTTCTATACCTATATAGTCACATTACTTATATATTTTTAGATATCTCTGTAGATGGAGATAAAAAGCATATATATATATTACTTATATACTTCTGTAACTTACACACCTATATACTCACATTACTTGTATATGTTTAGATATCTCTATCCACGGAGATAACAAACATAAAGATAACTCAGCACCACCCCCGAGATCCTTCCTAAACCCACTTTAAGGGTTTTAACCTTCCCTTAAAGAAGAGCCCATCAATAAACCCTCGGTCCAAAGGTGCTTTGGTTTCTACCTGGATCCTACACGTTGTTGCCCCGGGGTAGGTGCTGGTTCTGATTGCAGACCCAGTGCCAGCGGTTGTAATGTTTTACTGTTGGGTGCACTGTGGGGCTCGGTGGGTACAGGGCGCTGTTAGGAGCTTTTCCCTCTTTTATGGGGGGTAATTAGGACTTTATGACAGCAGCGCAATGGGAGGGTCCAGTCCCCATAAACAGGTTTATAATGGATATAAACTATGCACCTCTGTAACATAGCAAGATTAACACTTTAGGGACAATTTGAGTGGCAGCCCAAAAATCAGAGCTGGCTTTGGGAGGGTGAAAAGGTGCCATCACCAACCCGGCTGCTTCCACGGTGTCAGTGGGTGCAGCATTGCTGAGTCCTGCTTCACCCCTAAAGTCACACTTTGCCTTTTCCACCCCACTGCCGGGCTCCCGATCATGCCGGCTGCATCCCTGTGGATCGGGCTGAATCCCTGCCCCCGAGTTATCCATGGCTGGGTGTGCAGCGTGGCCGGCTCTGTTTTGGGGTTGGGCATCGCTGGTGATTTACAGGATGTTTGCAAAGCTCCAGGGCAAAAGTGCAGCAGGAGCTGCGGGAGGAGGTTGGGATGTGCTGCGCGATGGTGGTGGCACGGGAGTGGTTTAGAAGTGCAGTGATTTTTCTTCTTTAAAGTGCAATTTAATGGTATCAATGGGACATAGAGGAGAACCAAGAGGCTTCATTGCTTCTGCCTCCCAAAGACACAAGGTTGGGGTGTGCCCAGAAAATGGCACAAGTGGAGATGAAAACAGCAAAGGTACCAGAATGCCAGGTTGAGGTTTCCATGCTACTTTCACAACCCCATCCCGAAAGCTGCATCAGGGGAATGGTTTTGCCATCCCTGGAAGCCGGGGGGGGGTGCTGGGGCTGGCTGTAGAAAGCCATGGGGGCAGGACCCCCTGATTCCTGGTTGGCTGGAATGCAGGGTTAAGGCTATGGGAGCCGGACTCCACGTCTGGAAACATGGGAAAGCAGTAAAACAGTTCACGGGCTGTGCAGCTCAGGGACTGCATGAAGCCAGGTCCCATAAACAGACTTTTATGTTATGGCTGTAGCTCCAAAACAAGAAGCTTTTAACAAGGGCAGGCTCCTTGGCCAGGCCCATTCCCAGTGATCCCCATCCTGGCTCCTCTCTTGGGCTGCCGTAGAGGTGGAGGAGGAAGAAACCTCTTTGCATGGAAGCTGCTTCCAGCTGTGGAGGTGCAGGAAGGCGACAGGAGAATGGTCATGGTGGGCTTTGACAGCGCCTGAGCCCCTGCTCCTAAACCCTGGACCCCAAAGCCCCCTGTTTGCTGCAGGAGGAAGCTTTCACGTCCTGGTGCACACCAGAACCATCCCTGTGTGTTCACTCCGGCTGTTGGGATCCCGGTGGTTGTGCTGCCAGGGGAGGTTGTTGGAACAGATAGAGCCCAAAAGCAGGAAAATGGGTCCAGCAACGGGGATGGGGAGGAAAGACAGCTTGAAGGTGGCTAATGCCCAGGTCACTGCATTAGGCTAGGCTGGGCTGGAATGTGCAGTGTTCCCAGGGGATGGGGAGCTCGGATGGAAGCTCCCCACAGTCATCCGGGAGCTCAGTTGTAGCAGTGACAATAGCAACAGCGACGTGCTGGTTTCCTAATATTAATTATTTAGTTTGCCCAAATCCAACCCAATCCTGAGGGCCTATGGACAGCAACACCCCTCCCATTCTAGGAATGGGAAAAACCCAAGCCAGGATAGTTGATGGCTTCCTAAAGCTCTGCAAGGTGGCGATGGCAGAAGGCTTTTAACGTGACAAGTGGTTCCTGGGCTTTGGGGATGCAGAAGCTTGGTGAGAGCAGGGTCCTCAGTGGGGCTGGAAGGTGGTACCATTGCCCCCAGCCCCATAGCCTGGCCTCGCACTCCTCAGCAGAGTTAATCTTCATCAGGGCTTGGAGTCTTCAGTGGGTTTATCAGGAGCCCCAAAACCTCGGTCACCAGACTATCAGAAAATCTCAGCATTGCTTATTGTTCCTCAGACAATAAAAGTCTTGTCCTTGAGAGCTTTTAGCCTCTCATATGTTTTAAAGACAACTTCCTGGCTTTGGGTGTCCTGGCAGAGCATCCTCAGCTGGACATGGCACGATTTTGGGTTGAAATAGGACTCTTTTTGGTTTTGCTGAACTCGAACTCGAGTGAGGATGGAGCAGAAACCCTGGGTTTCTTCCCCATGGGAGCTGCCTGCCCTCCTGGTCTATCTTTAAGATCGTGCTCAGAAGAAAGGGCTCTGTTTTATCTCCCCTGCCATTGTTTGAGCAGCGCCGCAGGATCTCGGGGCGGCAGCGGCTGGAGCACACTGCACGAGGCCGGGAAGAATGCGTGTGACAGTGCCCTGGTTGAGTAATGTTTACCCTGTTCATGGCAGGGACGTCCACTCGGGCCCGCAAACACCCACCTGCCAGAGGACATTCTTGTATTATCAGGGATAAAAGGGGTTTGCTGGGAAATGATCAGGAGCCAGACATCGCGGGAGATCCCTATCTGCGGGACGTGTTTAACCAGCTGATGGGGGACCTGCGGGGGTCATTAAAGAGGCTCTTTGCTGTGATTCGTGGTGGAGGGCTCAGGGAGCTGCCTGCGCTGTGGTAGATGTTTATGGAGCTCGTGGAAAGCTCCTGGACCCCACTCATTGTTCCCTTTCCCTTGATTCAGAGGTATTTAGTGTGGCTCTTAGAGCATCCTTTGCTGAGCCGGCCTGTATCACATCCTCCCTTCAGGCCTCTGGGAGGAGGAGATCCCAGTATCCCAGTAGGACAATCCTTTACCTGGGGATGTCTATGCTGGAACAGAAGAGAAGCTACCATAAACCTCCACAGGCTGAACAACTCCATCCGATGGTGATTTTGGGGAGCCCCTGTGGACGATGCTCTTGCTGGTGCCGGTTGGGAAGGTGGACTTTGCCTCCATGGTTTTCCTTCCCAGGAGAGCTCTGGGCTGTCCATCCCTGCATCCATCCCCTGCTCCCATCCCAGGGCAGTTCAGTGAACCCATAACAAATGGCTTTTCGCCGTAGCCGTCAAGGCAGCCTCGTAAAAGGCGCTTTTGTTTCCCGTGGGTTTTCCTGGGTTAATTATTTGTGATCTGTGGATGCCTTTCCATGACACATGGCTGATGATCCGCTTATCAGCATGGGGGGGCTTAGCCAAATTAAATAGATTGATATGGAAGAGCTGTCCTCGAGCCAGATTTCCCTCCTGGTGGCGGTGGGCTGAGGTCTGGTTTGGAGGGTTGTGAGTGTCTGGTCCCTCTGTGCTCCTGCAGCAGTCTGTTAATCATACACTTGTCAAGAGGGAAATCGGATGTGGAAGGGCCTGGGGGAGAAGTGAGAGTGGTGCTGCTCAGAGCTGGGGTGGCCATGGGCTGTGTGGAGCTGGGAGGGAAGAGCTGGAGGATGCAGAGCTGGTCCCTGCAGCTCAGGACCCCCAGGCTGGTGTCTGAGAGCTGTGGAATGGGCATGATGGATGCAAACGAGAGCACGAGGGATGCAGACCAGTGTCCAGGCTGCTGGCCTATTTTGTGCTCCCTTTCTGAGGCATTGACACCCGTGGGCAGCCTGGGTTGGGTGCTCAGCATCCCTCTCCATAAAACCTCTCACTATCATTTCAGAAGATGAGGTGGGGAGAAGCCGGGAAGCAGCACCCGAAGGAGGAGCAGGCACGTTGCTCCACGCTATCCCTTCCGTTTCCCATTCCAAGGTGCCATTTAGGAGCTTGCACATCCCTGTGCCAAAGGAGCCAAGGGAGCGGTGGAGCCATTCCCCTTTAGAGGCACAAGGCACTGCCCCACCCGTGCTGCCCGTGGGGTGACCCCGATCCTGCCGCGGTGTTTTGCAGGGGTCCGGTACGGCCAGGCGGCGAGCGGCGAGGCGGCACCCTCCGGCACCATCAGCCACCACGGCAGCGGCGCCATGGTCCCCACGAGCCAGGCCGTGCTGCCGCAGGTCTCCCCGGCCGGCCTGGACCCGGGCCACGGTTTGCTCTCTCCCGACGGTAAAATGGTGAGTACACCTGGGCTGGCGTGGCGGCGGCGCCGATAAGATAAGAGGGCCCAGCGGGCAGAGCAAACACGCTTCCCCCCCCCCCCCCAACCCTGGCTTTCACACGCGGCCCATAGCGAACAATGGCGCATTGTGGGGTGCGTGTGTTTTCCATGCTTCCCATAGAGAAGGAGCCCCGCTCCCGGGTTCATTGATCGCATGCCTGGCGGATGGGAGGAGCGCTGTTTGTTTTCGGCTGCCAGTGACACGGGTGTCGATGAAACGCTCCTGCAGGTGTTGGTCCCCGAGCCCTCCCGGGTCCTGCTGGGGAAGTGCGTTCCTGGCAAGCAGGGATCTTCTTATCCCGAGGAATCACTAACCCAGCTCCTGCTTCTCCCCATCCCCATGTGCTCAAGGCTCTAGCAAGGGCTTTGCTGGGCAGATGCCGTTGCAGAGAAGTGGTTGTAAATGCAGGGTTGGGCTGGGCTTCAGCGCCCAAGCGCTCGGGCTGCTCCTTTCCGTGGGTGCCTGGCTGGTGCAAAGCCCTTTGGAGGAGGGCGCGATGGAGTGGGGCAAGGAGGAGGTGCAGGGGGCCAGGGTGGGATGAGATGGGATGGGAGATGCAGGCGCAGGCTGGTGGAGGTTCACGTGGAGCCGCTGCTCTTCCGGGAGGAGGATTGTTCCCTGCTGAAAGCGAAAGTCAAACATGGCTCTGTGTGGCGGGGCCAAGCCCGCTCCTCCGGGGTTTTCACTTCCATTTTCAAAGGCTTGGCTTTCACATCCGCCTCCTTACAAAGCTGGGTGGCTGGGGGGGGCCTCATTGTCCCTCCCTCAGCTATGGCCCCATTCAGTGTTGCCTTTCCTTCCATGCTCTTTGGCTAGCGAGGGTCTCTGTGCACCCGCTCACGTGCTGACCCTGCAAGGCCAAGCATCCCCACCGAGCGGGGGGGATCTTCCCAAGCACAGTCCCAGCCCTCCCAGCACTCTCCCTTCACCCCAAGCGCACCCATATCTCCTCCAGGGTGTGTTGAGCCCTATAACCCTGAGCCTTGAAGCCATAAAATGAGTCAGGACTGAAGGCGGCAGCGGCAGGCACCGGGTGCCAGGGCTGCGGCGTGGGACGTGGCAGCATGGGAATAGAGTGGGTTAAACCGGGAAGAGCAGCTTGAGCACTGCAGTGGGCACTGGAGAGCCTGAAGAGCCCTGCTGAGGTATTCCCACTTCATGGACACTGCACAGCACCATCCGGGACCGCTCGGGTCCTCGGCAGCGTGCGGCCCTGCCAGCTTATCTCTGATCTTGAAGCAGGGCTAGCTGGTGCTTGCAAGTGATTTAATAGAACATGCTGTAGGCTGCGGTTTCCAGTGGGTAAATGTGTGCCTCTGGTACCCCACATGGAACCCGGGGCCGGCAAGGAAGTTGCTGCCTCTGAAGGCAATCGGGGAGGAGAGTCACTGAGGCTGCACAAGGCTTTGGTGGTGCAGGCTCCAGCGTTGCCCTTAGTCCTGGCAGTGCAAAGGGGCTCCCTCAATGCTTCAGTGCCTGGAGGGTCTTTCCCACTCGTGCCATCTCCAGAGGCGATTGTGGGCGCAGTGCTTTGGATCTAAACACCCGTGCAAGGAGGCTGGGCTGCGGGCGAGCAGCGTGCGCTCCCCGTGAGCTGTTTGACTTGTGCAGCCAAGTGTGTTGTAACCTGGCCTTGAGGAGGCTCTGGAAGTGGAAAATACCGGATCAGGAAATACGAGTCACTCCCAGGCCTTGGAATTTATTGATGGAGTTGTTTCAATGGCAGCTCACATGTGCACAACAGACACCGTGTCCAGAGGTGTCGCACCGAGAGCCGCGGGGATGGCTCTGAACGGGGAGCGGCGCTGCTCAGTGCAAGGGGGCTGAGGAGGGGGATTAGGGGAATGGGCAGCAATTAAAGAAATAAGGCTCTTAACCTCCTGTCTGCCCTGGGGACCAGCTCCATTCTGCTCAGCACGCTCCAAGGGCCCTTGTGTGTTTGATCCTTAAGCCCTGACACGAAATGCTGTGAGCTGGCTCTGGCTGAGCTCGCCTGCCTCATCTCACCAGTATCCTGCCCATCTGCAAAAGGGGGCACTATGATCATCACCATGGGGCCCTTTTTACCTGATTTCTGCCTTTTTTCTTTACCTTTCTGAGTTCATATTTCCCACTTTCCCCCCCTAACTGGGGTAGTTAATGAGTGTTGAGAGTCCTCAGCTGTCCCCGAGGGCAGGAGCTCGGGCCTGGGGGACAAAATGGCAAAGGGTTAGGATGTGCCATGTCTTGGCACCATGCTCTGCTGGAGCTGGAAGCTGGTGCCAGCAAAATCCTTCGCCGCTGCTGCTTTGCTATTTATTAACATCACGATTGTGCACCCAGGCTGGGTTCTGTGCCCTGGGGTGGTGGGAGCTGTGTGCTGCAGCAGGATGGCACCGCTCGCCTCTTGGATGGGGGTTTAGGTTCCCCCCCATCTCCCCAGTGAAGCGGGATGAGGACGGAAGCAGCCCCCAGCTGTGTCTCTGATGTGTGTCCTGCTGGCTCCTTGGCAGATCTCGGTTTCGGGGGGCGGGCTGCCCCCGGTGAGCACCCTGACCAACATCCACAGCTTGTCGCACCACAACCCGCAGCAGTCCCAGAACCTCATCATGGCACCGCTCTCGGGAGTTATGGCCATCGCACAGAGTAAGTGCTCCTCTCCACGGACCCCACTGTCCCCCAGTGGGAAGAGGGACCCCCTGCCCGCTCGCTGTCACAGCCCTGTTCTGCTCCCTCCCAGGTCTCAACACCTCGCAGGCGCAGAGCGTTCCCGTCATCAACAGCGTGGCCGGCAGCCTGGCAGCTCTGCAGCCCGTCCAGTTCTCGCAGCAGCTCCACAGCCCGCACCAGCAGCCGCTGATGCAGCAGTCGCCCAGCCACATGTCCCAGCAGCCCTTCATGGCCACCGTGACCCAGCTGCAGAACTCGCACAGTAAGGAAGGGGCCGGGTGGTCCCTGCCAAGGGGAGGGCACTGAGGGCGAGCTCAGGTGGAGAATGGGCTGTGTTCTCTTCCTGCTCACACCCTTGGCTGCCGCCTCTCTCCTGGGTACCAGTGTGAGTGGGATGCAAGGTGCTGCTGTATGGCCGCATCCCGCCTCATCCTTTCCTTCCCCTGTGCCATCAGCTGTACCACATCTCCCATATCACTCTGCTACTGCCCCGTGGGTGGGACGCAGCCTCCCCTTCAGCACCTTGTACAAACTTCCATGTGTTTTCCCTTCCATGTTCTTAAATCACCTGCTTTGACAAAGGGTGGCTTTGTGCTCCCTGCAGAGCAAATGCTTCTCTGCTGTGCCCTGAAGGGATCTGGCTTTGCCCCTCAGGCTCATCCATCACCCCCATGGGGCTCTGCTGCAGTGGGGTTGTGGATCTCCAGTGTCTGGTCCAGCCACAGCCCTGCAGTCCCCGCTCAGGGCGAGCTGCTCCCTGAGGGAGAGGTGGCTTAGAGGCTTTCCATGCCTTGTTGTATCTCGTCCATGTCTCCACGATGCTCATCACCGTGCAGCATCCCTGTGACCTGCTGTAATGCAGCACTCGGCTGCTCTGCCCTTTTCCCTGACGGCTGCTTGTCTCCCTCCTCTCCGCAGTGTATACACACAAACAGGAGCCTCCCCAGTATTCCCACACTTCCCGCTTCCCCTCAGCGATGGTGGTGACGGATACCAGCAGCATCAGCACGCTCACCAATATGTCTTCCAGTAAGCAGGTAATGGCCCTGCAGATGGAGATATGAGTGTGCACAGGGTGGGTGTGCAGAGGTGGAGCAGGGATGTTTCTCCCCTGGAACTGGGGCTGGAGGAAGGTGTAGCTGAGGTTGAGACCTCCAGCACTGAGAACCCCATCCCAGCCCCTTCACAAACCCCTACTTGCGGATGGGGTGATGGGCATTTGGGTGATGGACCAGCTGTGCTGGGTGGTGAGGACTTGTCTAGTGGTACCAGCTGGGCCATGCTCATCCCTGGGGCAGCCTCATCAGAGTAGGAGCATCCTACTGGGGTACAAACTGGGCTGAGAAGATAAGGACCAAGCAGATTTTGCTGCCTTGGTGACCAGGGTGAATCAGCCCTGCTTGAGTCGAGTGGAAGAGCCAGGTTTCGATGCGCCCCGACTTCCCATAAACCTTTATCATCATCCCAGTGGCAGCGCAGGTGTGAGGCTGGACTTATCCTGGCTCGCATCAGGTGTGTGAGGCCTTACTCAGACAATGGTCCCTTTCTGAAAGCCACCTCTGGGGACTGTGGGAAATATGTGGCCCTTATTGATCACTAGATAAATAAGAGAGAGCCTTGAACTTGCATCCAGATAAACTTCCTTACGGAGGTTTGACAAGGGCAGAGGGTAAAAATGCCTGCAATGACCACAGAGTAAATACAGCATGGGATTGCTGCGAGACAGCGCCGGGGATGGATGGTGCAGGGGTGAAGGATGGGGCTGGGGTGGCAGGCTGGGAGCGGGGGTGCTGGGGAAGGCGATGAACACCATTGCCTCCGGCTGGGGTCGGGCTCCGGTGCTTTGTAGTGCTGCGGGGTGACCATGGGTGTGCAGGAGGCGGTCAGGCCTCGGGAGCACCATTTCCTCCGTGCTGCTTTATCAGCCCATCTGGTGTTCACCCAGCCCGAACTGCCCCTGATTAACTGAGCTCCCCCACCACGGGGGCTGCCTTTGATGCCGGGCTGGCCACACGGAGCCCTGGGCACACAGGAAATGTGCCTGGCAGGGAGATAGCGCCTGGCCATCCCCGCTGCTGCACTGATCCCCCCCGTCACTTTGGTTAAAGCAGGACGAGGTCCCACGGCTCAGGAGGGGGGAGATGGGGTCGGGTCCCCAAGAATTTGCTGTAGAATGGTCCCCATGGGTCCATTCTACAGCAAATGGGTGCACCCACCCCGTTAGCCCCCTTGTACACGGCGAACAAGCACTGCAAGCACCGGGGGCAGGATCAGGCTCTTGTTCCCCCGCAGCCCCTGGGGTCTCTTCCTACCAACCATTCAAGCTAAAGCTGGAGAAATTCCTCTTTGAATATTGATTCTTTTTCTCAGGGGTTTCATTAGCAAGAGGTGAATGAAGTGTTAAGGGGGAGCCCGAGGACCCATAAGTGCTGCTCACCCCCCCACCCAAATGGCTCAAATGCCTAAATACCTTGGGTGATTTGGGTTTCTGTTCCTGAATGGGGCTAACAGGGGCCATCCCTTGGCTCCTCCATGCTTTGCCTTAGCAAAAGGCAGGCATGAGGATACCTGGCAGCAATGGGATGCTTCTGAGGTGGGCAGAAAGGATGGGAAGGTCACTTGGATCCCCAGTTTTCCAGTGCAGTTTGCCGGGGAGCACGTGGATAAACCCAGAGGGTGTACAGCCCACATAAAACCCCAATCTGGGGGCTTGTGCTGCTGCTCCTTGAGCAACCCCCTATTTGCAAGAGGAGAGGCTTTCCCCACACAAAGCAAAGCCTCCAGCATTCCCTGGTGGCAATCCTGCACCCCATAAGCTCCATGTTGGATGGAGGGGGGATGCTCCCGGTCCTGCTGGGGGGGATGGAGGTTGGAGTTGCCCCCCCAGCTCTCCCCTCGCAGCCCAATGCTGCGGTTCACTTATCAGATGTTGTTATTTAGACCTGGAAGGGGCAAATACCTCCTGGTTCCTTTGACAACGCTTGAGGCCAAGCCACCATTTTTATGGTGTTAGCAAATACCCGATAGCCACGGCCCGGCCCTAATGACATGTCATGGGAGGCTCCTGGCGTCTCCTTATCTCCACCTTACCATGTTTGCTGTGAGATCCAGCCCGCAAGGTCACTCCCAGCCCCACACCGGGCACTGGGGGGGACCCTGGGTAGGGAGCCCAGCCTGCAGGATGGAGAAGGGGCTGCTGCCACAGGATGGATGCGGTGGTGGATCAGATCCTTCCCCATCTAGTGTAATGGCTTTAACCTGCCAGAAAGGTTAAAAGAGATGGAGATGGGATCTTAAGAAGCTCTTCCCTGTGAGGGTGCTGAGGCGCTGGCACAGGGTGCCCAGAGAAGCTGTGGCTGCCCCATCCCTGGCAGTGCTCAAGGCCAGGTTGGACACAGGGGCTTGGAGCAAGCTGCTCTAGTGGAAGGGGTCCCTGCCCGTGGCAGGGGTTGGAGCTGGAGGAGCTTTAAGGTCCCTTCCAACCCAAACCAGTCTGGGATTCTATGATTCTATTACTGTTTGGGGAGAGGGGGGCAATACCTGGCTTAGAAAGCATGCTCCACCTCGGGGCCAAGCAGAGCTCCCGTGGCACCACTGAGGTCTGGGGATGATGCAGGAGGCGATGCCCCCAAACGCTTTGCCATGGCTTCCCCTCCCGCCTGCCTCTCACTGCGCTGCTCTCTCCTCCGCAGTGTCCCCTGCAAGCCTGGTGATGCTCCACACCTCGCTGCTTCCGCACATAGCAACGGGATCTTATTTTCCACAACATCCCGGAGGTGACCCGTGTGCCGAGCCCGGGGAGTCGCCAGAGCAAAGCCCAGCGCCGCAGCGAGGAGCCCAGCAACCCGGAAAGGAGCCGGAGGCTCGAGATTCCCCATCGGAACGGGCCCGGATTCAGTGGGGCCCACCCGGGACCTCTCCTTCTCTCCGTGCAGTATTTCCAAGCTGTGTCTTGGGGATTTTTTCCTGAAGTATTTGCCTTCCACGAGGCCGCTGGCTCTCCCGAGGAACTGCAACGAGCTGTGCTGGGAACTGGCAGAGGGGGAACATGGATAATATTTAAGTTATACTCCTCCACCCGACGGACTGAGAGGGACTTGGGTCTGTTACGTGGCGTTTGGAAGGAGGAATCGCATGTGCTGTTGAACTGAGCCAATTGAACTGTAAATATAGGTACAGTCTGCTCCGTCCTCACCCTTCCCCGCTCCTATACATAGAGATTTATATAAAAAGAAGTAAATTTTGTCCAATGGATGTAAACTACTGTAATTAAGTGCAATTCTGCCATCTGTATATATTGTTCCCAAATCTCTTCTCTTTCTCCTTTTTTTTGTTTTTTTTTTGTAAAGGTCAGAGCTGAGGGTGGTTTTGGTGTTGTATTTCTCTTCTTCCGTTAAATGAGTTAATTCAAAGGCCACACTGGTCTCTGTGGGAGGACAGGCAGAAGTGTGTCCTCTGCATGGTGACATCCCAGGTGAAGGAAAGATACAGGGCGGAGCCCCAGGCAGGACCTGGACCATCTGCAGGGGGAAAACTGCCACTGTGGAGATCTCAAGGGACTCTCCTGCCTTTGGGGGCTCTGAGGTCAATGATGGGGTGCAGAAGTGCTCAGCAGCCTGGTCAGCACATCAGGCTATTTGGGAAGTGTTCAGCATCGGCAGCTTTCAGGTGAGCCTGTAGCATTTGCTGCTACAGAGGTGAATGGGGCTGCAAGGAATTCTGGTGGGGTCTTCCTCAAGTGCAGTCCAGAGACTCCTTTCCTCCCCTTCTTGGGGCGCAGAAGGTGCCCAGTTCCTGCCCAGTAATGGCCAGTACAGGTGGCTTGTTTTCCACCATTAGCAGCTTGATGATGAGCCTTGCTGGTCCACTCTTATCAATAAACACAGTGCTGCAGTAGCTGTAAAAGGCACCATCTCCCCTCCTGTGAGACACAAGCTCCTCCATCCCTGCTCCCCCTTGTAAACAGATTGAATGCTCCCCAGTTTTACAAACCTTTTGTTAACTCTTGAGCATGTGCCAACTACTGAGAGTGGTTTCAAGAGGTGCCCATGGATGGATGACCACTGCTAAAAGGAAATGCACTGGATGCTTTCTTTGGGGCAAGAAAAGCTCTTTTGCTCTGTGTTTGTACAATGTCGAGTGCAGTGGGACTCTAACTCTTGCTGGGACTGATAGGAGTTGCCCTGCTGTAAATAAGTCATCATGAATTGGAGACCAATACTCAGAATGACATTTAATTTAATGTATACCGTAATTAAACACCATTTCTTCTGAATCACTGCTGCTGTGTGGTGTGTAAATTCCACAGCCATCATCTGCTGTGGTTTGGCAGGAGGTGGGATGCTGGCTGATGGCAGGGATGTGTCCCTTCTGCTGTCCCTTGCAATGCTGATCTGGGTTTCTACCTGCCTGAACATGGTGAGTATCGTGGTTTGTGTGTTTCATATGAAGCCCCAGGTACCAGCCAAAACTAGCAGGAGGCTCTAAGAGATGGGGACACCCTTACCCTCCTAATGATGCTCTAATGAGTTTGCCTTTAGCCCAGCACAGTTTATTCCTCATCCTCTGCTAACTTTAGCAGCTGAGTGTTAAGCAAACCAATTAGGAGCTGAAGGCCAGACAAAGCCAGACCCTATCACTGTTGATGCTGAGGCTGTGGGTCAGTAAAGCAGGAGGGGAGGTGGGAAGGTGTGCTGTGGTTGCTGTAAAGCTTCAGAAGATCTTTGATTGCAAGGAGCTAACATCGCTGAGTGACTCAGAGCACATCAGTAGCTCTTTATGTGCTGTCACCCACCCCTGGGTAGCAGGAGAGGGGAAGGTAGAACGCATGATGGGTTGCTAAAGGATGCTGCGAATGCTACACATACCAATGCCTTCATTCAGAGTAAGCTCTCCCTGATCTAGATTTAACCTCTGGCTGAGGAAACCTTTCTGCCCAGGGAAATTCCATGCAAACTGCTCCCTGAGCAGCCTCTGCAGCAGCTGGCATAGTGATGGGAATGGGGCTGTCCCTGTCCAGACCTTACCTTGCCTGCAGAAGCACTGGGTGCGGTGTTTGCTCCTGTAGACACCCTCACTGCCTCATCAAGCTGTTGCAAAGTACAATGTAATGTCAAATGAGGCTCCGCTCCTGGAAGACCTTTCTTTTCCTCCTGTCACTGCTGGGCATGTTGTGTTTGGCCATGATGCAGTTATGGAGCAAAGAAGCTATCAGAATAACAGCAAAGTTCATTTATGACCTATAGGATTTTACAGGGCTGAGTGATTACTTTATAATTCAGAGCTGTTCACAAGGGAATTCCTCGCACATGAGGATCCACAGGCTGTCAGGAGGCTTTACTGGTCACTCTTCAGTCCAAACCAGGTTAGTGCCACCCTCACTGCCTGCCCCAGAGCCACCATAGGGCTTTAGGAGACTGCGATCATGAGCCCTCAGCGCGGGGCTGTTCCTTGGTGCTTATCACCTCTGTAACTGTGGGAAGGAACGGAGCCAGGGAAGCCCTATCCAGGGCCAAACCCTGCGTGCCACTGATGCTGGAGGGCTGGGACACCTTGGTGCTGGGCTCCCCATCCTTAGGTGTGTGATGGCAGCCTGGTTGTGGTGCAGGCCTTGCTGCTAGAGCAGTGCCGGGGCTCAGCCACCGTCCCCAGCGCTGGCCAGGCTCTAACCCTGCCGCAGCCATTCCAGCTCACATCAGCCAGCATCATGGGGATCGCTCAGGAAGTCCCAGGTCATTCCCATGGAGGAGCAGACGTCCTGCTGGCCATGAAGGCAACAGGGATATCTCCAGGGATACCAAAATACAGACGAGCTATTCCAGCAACTTTAGAAATGCCATTTGGCGCGCAGGTAAACGTAGCACGCAGTTGCACAACAGCACGGGCTCCAAACGCTGCTGCTTTCCAGACTTGTTCTGCCAGTCCAGCCAGATGGACAGATCTGCTGGAAATTTCGGCAGGAAAAGCAGCAGAGCAGCAATGTGGGGCTGTGCTCCCCTGCCCAGTGCAGCCTGCACCCCGCTCCCCATCACCCAGTGATCCCAGCGCTCTGTGATGGGTCAAAAGGGAAAGCATTGTCAGTCCCCTGCGGACAGCAAACACGCTCCTCCCTTTGAAGCCTTTGAGAGGATTTGGTTGGGCTGGTGGTGAAGTTTGAGGAGTACACAGAGAGGAATGCAGCAAGTGCTTGTGTTGGGAGGCCGGGCTGTTGGCAGGCGTTGCCAGCTCCCCGCTGCGGTCTGGCCATGGGAGCAGGGATACGGAGCTGGAGGAGTCCCTGTGCCAGGCAGGAGGCAGCTTTGGGCAGCATGCATTGATCCCACGGTGTGTTTGCAGGTCTTCAAAGGCCTGTGAAATGTGGGAAGGATTGATGGGGGTAAGAGATGTTAAGTCATAAACAGCAGCAGCAGCAGAGAATAGCACTGTGGCAGTGTCCTTTCCTCATCTGACTGAGCGCTGCTAAACACCTTAAAATGCTCTCAGCAGGTAGAGAAAACCCCACTCTTCCTGCTTCAGTCCATCTCCAATTGCTCCTGCAGCTCTGGGTGCTGACCTCCACAATCCCTGCGCTAACCTCTCCACAGCAACCAAGAGACCTGGGGGTTCACCAGCCTGCAAAGGTCTTAGGGGGCCTTGCTATCCCATCACCCAGGGCTGCCTCTCCGGCTGCAAGCAGCCCAGCACACCCACTGCAGCAGTTATCCCACCCCAGTGTGTGTGTAATATGGAGCCACACAAAACCTGGACCTCAGACATCCCACGTTATCTTGTGATTCAAGGAACTTTGATTTTACTTTAATATTCAGCAGAATTAATTCTCCTCTCTGTAATGAATACGCTGCTCAAATGGGTTCTTAATTGCAGATAAATCACAAATCTACACACTCAACTGTTATGCTTTTCAAGTAATAAACCAGATCATTTGTCTTCCTCAGCTGAACAGAGACCAACCAGCGCAGTGTTTCCCCCTTTATGAAGAATTCATTTGCCTTAGAAAGAAAGCCTTAAAAAAAACAGTGCCAGGCTTTCTTGCAGAGGGGATCAAAGCTCCCCCACTGCTGGAAACCAGTTTTGCTAAGTAAGATGTGGGTAAAGGGAAAGAAAGTAAAAGTTTTTTGGGAGCTGTTGGGATTACAGCACCCTTGGGAAGGATGAGGACGCGGGGTCAAGAAGTTGTGACCAGGTTAGCAACACAGGGAACAGAAGGGAAGGACAAAGGAACAGAAAGTGGAAATGGACAGATGAATGAGGAAGCATGTTTCTTTGCCGAAAGAGAATGGATGCTACATCAATTCATACTGAGAGCTAAAGGATGAGGGTCTGTTAATGGATTGGGGGACACAGCAGGGATCAGAGGTCATGAGTGCACTCAGCTGGGCTAATTGACTGTTATGTGCATATTAGTGATGGTGATGCAGTAGGATAGTGGGGAGCAGATATGCAAAGGTTTCCCTGACAAGCACTGTCCTGTAATTACACCTGTAAAATGAAGGCACAAAAGACGCTGGCCTTACCTGGCTGTCTTCAGGAGGGGACCCCATGGCTACAGGTAAGCATCTCTGACCTGATGGGGCTTGTGGTGGAATAAACTTGCTCACCACATTTGCTTTGTAATCTAATGGGGGTTTATTTCAGTGCTGTGTTGGGTATGGAGCAACGATCTCACCTCCTACACTGTCCCAGCAGTCCCCTGAGCACGCCTGTGTGAGATGGGGGCTGTTTTGGGGTCAGGGGTGTACCCTCCTATTAACAACATACTCGTACCTGCTGCGGTCCGGTCCCTGGGGCTGTCTGCCGGGATAACAAATGAAAGGGGGAAAGCATACCTCCTGGGCTCTCCCCCACACAGCAGCCCAGTCCACAGGCACCCTGCCAGCAGCTCCAAGCAGAGCAGGCTGGTGGCTGCCCTCCTCTGCTAGGACTTTATGCCAAACCTGGTGTGTTGGAAGCTCCGTGTTGCCCAGCACGTACAAGTGAGTGCAGGGGGTTCATGTAAAGACCATGAGCTGATCTAATACAGTGTTCACATTGTGCAGTATGGCTGTGTCTTGGGGGGGGGGGTGTTGGTGCCCCCTTAGCTGGCACGGGTGGCTGTGCCTTGTTTGCTGTGGTGCTGATGGAGTGAGAACTCCCTGGCAGAAGGCACTGTGCTTTCCCTTTACTGGTTGGGATCAATGATAGGGAACGAAGCCAGACATCCTTTGCCTTGGGGTGCTCTGCAGTGTGTACCAGAGAGGAATGCTTCTGTGGGAGGCTTTAGGCCACCATGCTCACAAAGCAACAGAGAAAGAGTGAATTCAGCTCCAGTTGATCCAGGTACAGGATCAGGTTGGGAGAGCAGGTGAAGTTTTGAGCTGACTTCCATGGACTTGAGATCCAGCCTCCACGTGCTCTAATCAAAAACAGGATTGCCCAGGTTACACCAGGCTATAGGGGCATTAATCACTGTATCCATGGCTGGGCTGAGCTGAACAGCCTGTGCTCCTGCACTGCGTGCACCCTGCAAAGGCCTTGGTGGTCATCTGGTGTCAGCGCTGAGTTGGCAATTAGCACTGGGTAATTGATAGAGCAGCACTGGGGGAGCAAAGTTAACCCAGCAGCATGACAAGAGCAGTTGCGCTGGAATATGGGATGATACCACCAGGGACTGCTCCTGATGGAGGTCCCTCACTCCTGGCACACGGCTTTCTGCCCCCTTGGAAGCAGAAAGTGCCTTTCTCCTTACACAAAGGGATTTCCCAGTCGACTGATGAAGAGAATATTTCCCGTTTCCTCACTCTGGAACCTGCTGACAACATCTCTTGGCGAGTGATGGATACTGGAGATGATTTATAGTGCTTTGTTACACAAATGCCTCCACATTCTTCCCCATCCTCTCGCAGCAACCAGCAGTCACTTCTCCTGAAGAAAACAAGAGCCTTGGCCCAGGCATGGCCTGAAGGATGCGGTGTCGAGCCTCTGGCCTGCAATGGCTTTACCTGGGGACACAGAGGAGGGAAGTGTTGGCATCGCGGTGCTCTGCACCCAGCTGGGTCTCCGTGTGGCTGCTTCCACCCATCCATCGGGAAGTCAAAAGGCTGGCAAAGGAAAAGCCCCATAAATCAGGCAGGAAGGGGCTGCGGGAGGATCGAGTTTGTGCCATTTTTCATCTCCAAGTTTGTGATTAAAGCAGTGAGCGTTAACGGGGGAACAGCCCTTGCCTTTGTGTCTTAACGCTCCTGGGTTTTGGCAAGACGAACATTTAGCCCTTAAGACTTTTATGACATAAAATAGTTC